CACCCTTAAGATTTCTTCCCTTGCTCTCCTAAGCCTCACACCCTCTCTATTTATAGAAGCAAGAGAGTGGTAGGTGGGAGGTAGGTGAGCGGTAGGTGAGCGGTAGGTGAACGGTAGGTGAACGGTAGGTGAGATGTGGTAGGTGAGCGGTACCACATTACAAAAGTGCCCTTTTACTTTAGTTCATTAATTGGGGGTCAAAATAACACCACTCTTCTCCTTAAATAGTGATGACAAGATTATGATCACTTCATTGTCTTTCTATCATTGAAATAAGAATTTTAAATAACATCCATCCTAATGATTAGGCAGTACGTAATAGCTTAGAGATAAGAATATGGCAACAACCACATAATTAAATTTAGTTTATTGTAAATGCTAGTGAAAGTCAACAATTATTGGTATTTTTGGCCTCTCTCTTTTTTATGAATTCAAATTTTTACGCTTAGATTACTCTTCCTCACTTCATGTATATCTTTAATTTTTTAGGGCAACATTTTGAAAATTTTGATCAATATCTCAAAATACTTTCTCACAAGATTTATGTTAATTGTTAGAATATTTTTTTGACGTTAAATTTCATTCATAACTTCATAATTAAGTGAACCTAGGCTCTTTAAATTCCTACTATCGAGCCACTCAATACAGCTTCAAGCATGTTGAATTTGAAGATCATTTGACTTTTAATCTATCTCTTTGAGTAAAAGAGATGAATTTGAAGATCATTTGACTTTCATTATTCACTTTCCCTCATCCTCCTCAAAAAGGATATATTTTTATAATGCAATGCTTTCAGTTGATTAACTCCACATTAATCTACTACCAACTATTGAAATGATTATAATTTGATTTACATCAACACTTTTTTTTTTCTCACAAAGACTTGATCTGAAAATCTAATATTCAATTTAACCCAAAGCATAAAATGAAATTCTTTCAACCAAAATCTACTAAGTAATTCATTTTTTTACAATTGAATAATAAGGATATTACCAAAGAAAATAGTGTTTGATAGACATTTAAGAAAATCTTGAGATCATCCCTTAGTAATTATGAATTTGATGGGTGTCGATTTGGCTACTATTTTAGTTGATCAATCTTTTTGCAAAATTTGAGTTACTTCAACTATTTGTGCAATCTACTTTTATATGGTTTCCTTTGCACATAAACTTATGATGATATGGTCCGTAAAGAGTCAATATTGATTTTTAATAGCATGTTTAATGATCTCAAAAGAATGCCTAGTTTGCTTAAAACAACTACTTATTTGTTCAAAAATATATTGTGAGCATTGATACATTGACAAATTTTTCACATCAGTTAGATTGTTGCATGTACAAATTTTTTCAGACTTGATAAGCCATTTTCTTATGTTTTATTAACTAAAATGAGGAATATTTGTTTAATGATTATAAAATTGCTACTCGGACTCTCTTTGATTACTCATTTTGGATTTAATTGCTATTCCAATTTGTTTTTCAATCAAATTATATGTTGAGGAAGCGCATTTAAGATCATCGTAATTTCTTAATTGATAATAGCGACTTTCACATCTTTTCAATTATTATCATATATTTTTCTTCCTTTTAGTAAACTTTTTATCTTTTTTTTGTCATGAATTTTATCCAAAAGAGTAGCTACCATGAAATAAATTGAAGACCCAAAATCAATAAGAAAAAATTTATGTGAATGAATAAGTTTCAGCTTCACCAGCTCATGATCTTGATGAGAATTTGAGGGTTTATTGTATAAGATATGAGCCAAATGGCAGTGGTTATTAATTATTAAAAAAATTATCTATTTATTATTAAAAAAATTACAAGTGGTTTCATATCATAATGCTTTTAGTTACTAAACTCATAATTAATTATTAGAAAATTAATATGATGAGCTTAAACATTCATTATTATCTATCCTTTCTCCAACATGTTGATGTTCCTTCATCTTCTTAATATTCCTTACTACTTATTGATTAACACCCAATACTTCTATAGGCATTTATACTGACTAGAGTCTGGTAATGAGATCAAAGTGAAAGCTAGAGTCTCAAAGATGTCATCACATAAGAGAGCAATACAATAGTCATCTTCTTTATTTTAAGAAGTGGTTCTTAGTTACATAACAATCACTCAAAAAATTGAACATAACATTTTTAATCACCAAAAATTTTAAATAAAAATTTAAATTTTCAGTCAAAACCTCCAATAGTGGGTAAAAAATGGTGATTGTAATGAATAAGTTGGTCAAAATGTTATACTTAAATTTGGGAGGTTACGATATTATATTCAATATTTTCGATAGTCGGTGTTTAAAATCCCTTTTAATAAATGCAAATTAGAAAATCATAATGTTATGTTCCTTGGAGGCTAAAATATTATTTTATGAGATAAAATTAAATTTAATTATTTTTGTTTAAACAAAAATTCATCTAATCATGAGTACTTAATTAATGGTGGAAAAAATACCAACCAAATATAAATCAGTTTGAATTCTTTAAAGATGAAAATCCATCCATGAAGTCTCTCCGACTAATCACTGAAGTTTAAAAAAAAGCTCGGCCCAGACATTTTTGTGACAAATGAACCGGTCCAAATAGCTTGTTCCTGCTGCAACTTTTGTTTGCTGTGGACACTTGTCGTAGATCCACTCCGATTACCCAATGAAATAAAATCTGCAATTAATTGAAATGTCAAAGATTATATATATATATATATATATATCTTTGATGAGTAGTATTTTTAAAAAAACTTAATTGACTACAAGACTACAAAGATTTATAATCAATTAAAAGTATTAATTAAGAAAATAGAATAAAAAATATTAAATTAGATTCAAATGATGTTTTAATATAAAGAATAATTTTTAACTCTTGTCCAATCCTTAAGATCTTATGGCTAACTGATTAGGAATCTTTTAATTATTTTGGAACTGATTAAAATGAATTACATTTTGATTTGATTTGGATCCGTTTTAGGCTTTTAGGGAAGCTTAGACGATGAATTTAGGATTTTTTTTACTTCACTTTTATTCAGTTTGATTAA